TAAGTTAAAATATATTTTTAAATTATGTCAATTAGTAATTATTAATTCAATGTACAGACAAAAATTATCTCACAGATAGTTCCTGCAGTAGTGATGAAATTGATAAAAGAGACGACAAAAAAAGAATACATTTTTCCATATAATTTTCTTCCGAAGAGTGGAAATGTTTATTACCGAGACAAAAATCGTACAACGAGAAGAATGGCTCACGAAATTACCTCATTTTAAAACCATTTGAATGGAGCAATGTAGTCCAGGAACACTTTTATTTACATACGAGATTGCCTTGTCCGCTATATCGTTTAAAAAAACTCGAGTGTCCGAGTATGGAGAAAATGTTATTGCTGTTCATGGTAGATGTAATGAATATAACTGCACTTTGCAAGGATATGTTAAAGAAATCCCTTCATTGAATGCTAGGCTAGTAAATTTAAATCCACCGTAGAAATGTATAAAACAAAAGTTTTCATAAATTAAATGACCAGTTATTTTTCGTTTAGAGTTGTAATGGAATGTTCATATGTGGGCCAATTTGGTACACTTCATTAAAAAAAACGACGACTCATGGGATCTGAAATGAATCGGTCTTTGAATGTGACAAATAATCAAAAAGTAAATGCTTCTGTTTATATTCGATCTGCAGAAGCGAATAAATGAAAGTTACTAATGAGTTGCTAATTATCATAAATTACTTTTACGGAGTCATATATGCTACACAAATTAAAGTATATTATAATGTATACTGTACCTATGTATACTGTAAGTATATTACTTTTTTCAAATAAAAACTCACAATTCACAATATATTACTATACATTTTTACACTAAGGTTACTTATTTTTTTTTATCATTAATCAAATACGTGGTTCAAGTTAGGATTTAAATTATTTATTATTGATTTTAAATATTTAATTTAATCAATTTAAACAAATAAAAAAAACTATTTTATTGTAAGCATATAATTAATAACTTTTAAGTTTAATATAATATTACGTATTGATTATTATAATATGAATTATGTCTTAGTCAATGGCATAACTTATGTATATGTATATGGTACCGTCAATGTCGTAAATTCAGGTAATGATGATATTGACTAGCCAATTAATATAATGCCTGGGTAACTTGGTCATTATCTATAATCAACATATATTTGTAACATTGACTTGATAAATCAGACGATGTTATAATTTGATAAATTCACTAGTTATTATAACATATCCTATCGTCGTGTAGTCAATGTTATCTTTTATCGTTTTAACTTTAAAAACCCACGTTAAGATTAGGTATCTGTTTTATAACGAATAATAATAGGTATCTTTTATAGTTTTAATACTCACGGCAACTAACCTAACATAAGTATTGTTACAGTCTACGTTGTACTTTCGTATAATATAGTTTATAGTTTCATATAGTTTTTCGTTTCAAAAAGTGTTGAATTGTACCTATTATTAAAAAAATGAATTCAAATGAAATGCGTCAACAATTTTACAACGCATTATCTGATTTATTGAAAAATAAACGCGAAGATAATAAATCATTTTTAAACAAAGAGGAATATATGTTAAGATTGCAAGAAGTTAAATTAGCTAAGGAAAAAATTGGGAAGAAAAGTGCAAAGGATTACAGATACATTCGTAAGTATGATATATTAACACTCTATGGGCAAGAACGACTTATTAAATCAATAAGTAATAATTCAGAAAATGTACACTATTATGTATCAAATGACGAATTATTTGATATTTTACACGATAGTCACATTGCAATAGGTCATGGTGGTCGGGACCGCATGGTTTATGAATTAAAGACAAAATATTGTAATATTACCAAGGAAACTATTATGATATATTTAAGTCTTTGTATGCATTGTGAAAATAAATGTACTTAAAATGTAAGTGTAAAATAAATGTACTTGTAAGTTGTAGATCTAATAACCGGCTTTGTACATCGAAGTGCCATAACAGCTTATCATGCGAGAATAAGTGATACCCATACGTCATAATCAATAATCAACATACAAGTATTAAAATACTATACGTTGATAGATAGGTAGCTAACTAGTTAGTGATTTTTGACATGAGATTTACAAGTTATAAGTTCTACAACATAACAATTTATTATTATTTAGTTATTATTATTGCACTAACCATATTTATTTATTCATACAAACGGCCTTAAGTCCTATAACACAGCGGTTCTCAATCTGTGGTACGCGTACCACTAGTGGTACGCGTAAGACTACATGGTGGTACACGAAAGGCCGCATGGTGGTAGGATGGAAAATTAAAAACAATTAATATTAGATCCTTAGCGTAGCAATGATTTTACAATGTCGTGTGTTTTTTTTTTTAATACTCAGATAATAAAGGTTAGATTTCCCTTGAAATCTACGTCAATAAATAATATATTGTATATTATAATCATTGATATATTTTATCGCGTATGTACGTATATAAATCCATGGTTCTCATTGAAAATTAGTTATTTAATTCATATCTTAATTTTTAAACACTAATAAATTTAACTATGTAAAGTTTGTATTGTTCTATTTTTAATCATCAGTGGTACGCGACTGATTGATAATATACTTAAGTGCGGTACGCGAAAAAAAAGTTTGAGAACCGCTGCTATAACATATTATGACGCAAGCAAGCTAGAAAAGTTATACATGGTATACGAACTTTGATATACACCAAATAACATAAATATAACAGAATTAGAAGCAAAGATACCTACATATTACGGTTATGTGTCCTAAGCCCTAACTCCAAATATAAGTTATAGGATTAGCTACCTATCTGACATTACAACTTTTAATACATATTTTTATACCATATAACTGTATTATTAATATTAAATAACTGTTTTATGTTATTTTATATTAATACAGATGTGTTTTGACAAACTTCAACAACTTGATATATTAATAATTAAATTCTAAATTTATTTAGAATGTGGTTTCCACACAAATATTTTTATTATGTACCCCTCTTACAGTGGACATTCCTTACTGGAAAATGTAGTATTATGTACTAATTAATTTCATGTATTTACATTTGCCACAATACATTATACTCAAAGAGATACTTTTGGTAGTCTTAGACCTTAGTATGTAATTACTAAACTAAATGAAAAGAGTCTAGCTTATTATTAATTAAATATTCTAAATTACATTAATACATTATGGTAATTAGGGATATATTATATAGGTACACCACCTGTTGGTAACCTTTAGTTGTTAAGTAGGTAACAGTCATACTTGTATTAGATTCAGTGGTTCACATACAAAGACAAACATGACACATACACATATAATATGTTAAATATACTTATATCAATCATCAGAGGACTAGGCTACATAGCTAACAAGGCTACAAAGTCTTAAGTACCTACCTAATGTAAAAAAATGTTATTTAGTGCAAATATTGTTAACCTACCCATAAATAACTATAACGTTTATTTTTAAAACATTATTATTATTTTTAAATAATATTTAGGAAGCAATAACATTCGGTAGTATAAAATGATAATACCCTGTTGATAAAATATATAAGATAATCAAATGTTAATAATAGGTAATAATAATATAGGTAGTAGGTAGGTACTCAATTGCACTATTGTAATACAATTTTGTAGAACTCACAAGTCACAACTTGTAAATCACATGATGAATTATTTTCTTTCAATTTGTCCAATGAGTTATTAATTATGAATCCAAAATTATTTTTGTGAAGATAAAATTTTTTCTTTAATTGGATTTTTGGAGCCATTAGCTAAACTCTCTCAAGGATATTCCTCTAATAATATTCTGCTCTTATATGTAAGTGCACTGCTTCAGTGCTACTGTACTATATATTATTTAAATAATCATTGAAAAATAGTTCCGCCTTTAAATTAAATGTGCAAAACTATTAATTTATTTTATTCAAATAATTACTAAAATTTATTTACTAAAAATAGTAGTTTGTTTATTAAAAATACAATATATATATATTTTAGTAGGAACTTTTAGTAAGGTATTTTAATTAATATTACTTTTTAGTAAAAGTAAAACATTTAGATTGGTTAGTACCTATATTGTTTCTATGTTATGCATGTAAGAAGTTGAAAATCTTTATCTAACATAAAAGTTGTGTACAAGTTTGCAATAGGTACCCTTAGTCCAGTAAGAACCTATTCCTAATACCTACTTAATTTATATTAGGAGTTAGGACACATATTTGGTGATATAATAATAACTAAATAAATATCAATTAATTATGTACTAAATTGCACCAATCGTGTCATTGTAGAACTAATAACTTGTAAATTAGCATATTAGAATCGCAGAAATCACCTATTAGTTAGGTACCTTCACGTGTAGCCGTGTAGGCTCATACGTATGGTCCTTATGATATTATGCTAATATGCTAGCGATGTATAGTATATTATATTCATAAATTAAACTATTGACTGAGACATAAATACATAATACATATTATATTAATCAATACAGTGCATTGTCAAGTATATTAATTATGATTACCATAAAATAGTTATTTTTATTTGTTTAAATTAACAAGAAATAATTTAAACCTTAACTTGGACCACGTATTTGATTAATGATAAAAAAAAAATTGTGAAACTTGAAATAGGCCAATAAGAACGTGGTATACATAAGAAAAATTGCCATATAGAGACCAAAGTCCTAAAGAGTATAATATTATGTTATATTCAGATCTTGAAATCTAAATCATGTTCGATTTTAAATATTATAAGTAAAATAAAAATTTAATTTTTTTTAACAATATTTAAAACGTATACCTATTGAAATTGATAAAATTGAAAATCAATTTGAAAATTGAATCAATACTTAGCAACAGTTCAAAAATCTAAAAATTATAAAATCAGTATATTATATTAAATTTATATCAGAAAAAACTAATATCGATAAACAAATTTTAAATTAAGATTTCAATTTTAATTTAGATTTCAAACCCTGGTTATTTAGTGTTTTTATGTTAAATAAGTATAATATCATAATCGTTTTTAAAGGAAATTGTGTTCCTGCTCAGATCCCTAATAGTTCTAGTATCAGGACAGCAAAATGTAGAGCATTAAGAAAAGAAAGACTGCATACTGATCCTATAATTGCAGCTCTTTCCATTATGAAACGGAATACTATACATGGAAATACAATTCGTGACAATGGATATGACCACTTTTTTGTCCATTTTTGGAGTAACCTTCAGTTACAAATTTATAAAGAATGTTATTTAAAATCCAAAATCCAGTGTATGCAATTTGGTGGATGCTGCAGGAAAATCAAAAGATTAGAACAACACCAAAACAGTAGCTTATTCCTGTATGAAGGTGTTCCGGAAATAGAGAATAAAACATTTACAGCATTATCTATGGTCTAATGGTGGTTACAAATTGTTACAAAAAAGATTACGTAATACCATACGGTTTTCAAGTCGAAATATTAATTATTTAATGTTTCGGGTGCTGGGGTAACGTTACCCTGGCACCCGGAATTTGGATCGCGGTTTTCCGGGGCCCCGGTTTGGTTACAAAATTTTTTTTGGTGGTTACAAATTGTTACATAAAAGATTACATAATACCGTACAGTTTTCAAGTCGAAATTTTGAACTTGGGGTGCCAGAGTAACACTCCTTACTATAGTAATAATCGCAGCGAAATTCGCTAAACCAAAATACCCGTATAGCCCGCTATCATTAATATTACCTACATACCTATATAATTTTACATTAATACATAATTAATAGGTCTTACCTTTTTCTTCTTTTTCAGTTGATGAAAAATTATTCCAATTTGAAGAATAAACTACCTCAGTTACCTTCGTCCAACATGATTTTTTTAAGTCCTTATCGCTGTATTCTTTAGAACTCGTGGCCCATAAACAAGGATAGTTCTGGACTTCCGAAATTAATTTCTCCGTTGAATACATGTTAATTTAGGTACGTCAATACAAAAACTATCAATGTCTTATAAGTTATAAAAATTATAATTTAAATTTAAAACCGCAACCGATAATCCGCATGTGTGGTCGGCTCAATATTAAAAGTTAATATAAATAGACGGTTTTGAAAAAAATCGTTGGCCGACCGCGAATATCGCGAATATAGCCTGCTCGGTTTATATTAACACTTTGATTGCCAGGCCAAAAATGACAAAACTGACCATTCTGACCGGGATATTTTTTTTATAACGTGTGTACCATATAACTGTGTATCAGTATCAATACAAACGGCACAAATCAACATATTAGTTGTGTATTGAAATTGATACACATGGCACTCAAAGTGTTAATCATACAGGTTTTCGATGACAGCGGAAATCCGCTCTACAAATACCGCCTTGTATATTGAACGGATGTGTTGACAAGATGACCACCGTATAGCTCTACTCGGAAGATTAAAAATATACCATAAAGTTTCGATCGTTTAACTCAAAATCATCTTACATATTACATTGAACATTACATTGACTAATCGATATTATAGTCTATATCATTATAATTTATAATAATACTATACTATAATATAATCTATATACATATAAAATCCAAATTCCACTTAGACATACTGATCGCTGCAGTAACTCAAATCTACGAAAGTGCGCAACGTATGTACGAACTTGAAATTTGGAATAGAGGTTCTTCTCGTATTTTCACAGTGCAATAAGAAAGGATTTCTCATTTTAAATAGGTGCTCAAACAGGGACATTGAGGTTCACGATGGAAATAGGAAATTTTATTTTTAATTATTAATAGTTGCCGTTGGTCACAGTGTACAGTAGAAATTTAGTATCTATTTATTATTGGTTGCCATTGGTTATTCGGGCAGATCAGGTACAAGCTTGCACCGAATCGAATTATACTGTTGTACCGAAATAAACTTGGTATAACTTTGATAATTTATTTAGAGTTAAATCATACACTAAAGGCGCCTTCAAAGCTCCCCGTGAAACGTGATATATTCTAGAACTGTGATTGGTTGAACCATGTGGTTATCTAATGGTTAACTATCATTTTTTTTCTTAATACCTTATCTATATCGTATAGTTGAGTTCAATCCATGGCTTAAGATAAACAGGTTACGAAACGCAGCTGTGATTATTGAGGCTCTAGTCTGTCAATCTTCGGATACTAGCGAGAATGATACCTAGCGCTCCATGCGGTACTATTTAGCTTTATTTATATTTTTCCACGATACTTTTTGAATTTTGTCATGTATTTTAGTTTTAACTTACACGGTAAACAACACAATATTTTAAGATTTTTATGAGATTTTTTTGATTTTTTACATAAATAAACAATTATAATACATAAATATAACACGGATAAATGATAATATAAAACATTTAATAACCTAACTGGATACAAGTTTTGAAAGTTTCTTTTTGGCTCTATTAATTTTATTTAATTTTTGATTTTCAATGTATGTAAATTGCCTCATACGCATTGTTATATATATGGTGAAGATATCTGTAATCATTTCATATTTATGAATAGAACATGAAAATGTCAAGCTTGTCACATGAAGAAAAAATTCATTATAAGTATTTTCAAAGACATCACCAGCACTTGCATGTTTACAAAAGCAAGTTTCCAATACTTTTAATATTTTATATAAGTTACCACTAGGATGAGTTAAAAATCCTTTACTTTTTAAATTTACCAACTCTGATTCCATACCTAAGTTACCATCATTCTTTAAATTTTTTATACATACTTCACACTTGGACTTTTTGCACAGTCGTCTAGCTAAATACCTGCAGATTTGATTAAAAACTTATTAGACATTTATGTAAGAAATAATATTGATTTATCATCTTTACCCTCCTAAATAGTAAACCACGCATTCAAAAACTGAACTTTTTGTATAATCGTGCTCTAAAAATATGTCTTCACAGTCCCAGTTCTTATCTTCAATTATCAAGTCTAATTTACTCTTCATGTTTTTAATTTTTTCTTCACGCAATGATTCATTTGAAATAAGATTTTTAAAGTCGCAAATATCAAGTACCGGTTTTTGGACTGAAAGTATGTAAGTAAATATATAAAGTACTTATTATAGATCATATATACCCATTTAAATTATTTACCTTCATCAACTGTACAGTTACCACTTTTAGGTGGTTTTATTAGAGAAGATACAGTCAACATTCTGTATAATTGTAAGAATGTTGGTGTAGACGGGTGGTCGTTAGGACCAGAAACTTGACGTATTATACCAAAAAATTTCTTTAAATAATATATGTTAGTAAGTGTAAGATGGTCAATCTTTAAAATTAAATATTTCATACTTCTAGTTTATCCTGATTCATTTTAGCAGTTAATACAAATGAAAAATTACAACTGTCCAACAGATATTTTGAAAGTTCAATGCTAGATTTAATTGTTACTCTCAATCCATCAGCTGTTTGCTGAGTTAAAAATTCATTTGAAGATATGAGTCCATCTATAACTTTTGACTCCCAAGAATCTAACCATTTCATTGCATTTTCAAGAATCTAAGTACATTATTTGAAAAATGGGCATGAATTAATTAATAAAATATTAAGTAAAAATATTCCCACAAACATAAATATTTGTTAAACATAAAGAAAAACCTCAAAATCATAAGAATTTTTTCTGATTCCTTCTGCAGGAAATTTACGATTGAACGCATCAAATAAATTATTTATAAACAAGGTAAATTGTTCTGTTTCTTCAGAATGTATAAGATTTTTTTCATTTCTATTTCTATAAAATTGTATACCTACAGCCATTGAGTTACTGAAAAGCTAACATAAGTATTAAAATTAGTTGATAATTTTTAATAGCATTATTATTTAAAACATTTTTAAATTAGATATCATATTTACCTGAGTTGCAAACTTAACTTTCATTTTTGACAAATTAGTTAAATATATGTGATTCCTAGTAATTTTTGGACATACTTTCCCTAGTTTATTCTCATCAAGCCTGTACACTTCAGAAAAATGTTCCCATTTTACTAATGGTTTGGAAGGATCCAACTAAATTTATAACACATAATGTAAGTATATAAAAAACCTTTTTATGTATTTATATTACCTTTAAACATTTTTTTTCGTATAAGCGATTACGTATCGTCTTAATGAGATGAGGTGCGTCACTAAAAACAAAAACTTTTCTAGTTTCATCAAATGGATTACAAAAACTATTATTTGTATTCCCTATCTTTCCTGAAATGCCTAAGTTATTCCACATGGTCCTATTTGTACTGGCCCCATCAGTAGTTAGTCCCAAAACCTGTGCTCCTGCGTTCTCTAATAACATTATTGCTTTCACTACTAATTTGGTCAAATCCATTCCTTAAAATTGTTTAAATATTAGTATATTAAAATTGAATTTTTCTTATCAATTATAATTTATATACCTTTTACAGGACCTTTGGAGGCAAAAACTGCAATAGGTTGTGTAAAACTATCTGCAAGACTAGACCACATAAATACCAAACCATGATCTGCTTTTTCAGTGTCTCTACTTGGAAGTTCTCCTCCAAAATCTTCCAATCCTGAATAACTTAAAGTACGGCTGTTTACTGATATACTTGATCTCAAATATACCTCATCTAATAGTAAAATGCCTTTTTTTTGATAGTCACTTTTACTCAACATTTTTTTTTTCAGAAGTTTAAAGAAATTAAGGTCAAATCCACATTCATTATTAATTGCCAAAAGATACTTTCTAACAGTTTTTACACAGGGAAGTGGAAGTATGTTTTGGTTTCTCAGAAATCTATATCCACTTGGGCTTCTGAAAATTATTAATTTGTATGATTCATATTTATTCATATTATTATATTTTGTAATAACTTACCTAATCTGTAAAATTAAGCATAATAGAATCCAGTTATCGCTATACCTTCTCTGATTCTTACATTTAACTTTAGCAGCATTAAAAATTTCATTGACTAAATTAGATTGACAGTCAGATAAATTAGATTTCTGAATTATTTCATTTAATGTGGTTGATGAGACTTGGGATATTTTAGTTTTGATATTATTCAACTGCAATTTCAAATTTTTAATTGTTTTATGCGCTCTCGAAAACTTTTGGCTTGCAATTTTTTTGGATTTAAGAATTTTTTTGAATTTGCTTTTTTTGCTCGGTGTTAAAGGTACTCTTAAAGACTTTCCAGCTGACAATATTTTGAATTTTTTATTTATGGTGTATTTTAATCTATTACACCATACACATAATTGACTATTCAAAACAGAATGAAATTAGAAATGTTATTATTTCAAAATTAATTTATTAAGGAAAATTTAAAATATTTCAGAATTTAATACCTGGCTCCATCTTCTATAATATTTAAACAATTCGCATGTTTCCAGTGACCATTAAATTCTATAAATTGAGAACCAAAAGAAGTTTTTACATTTTTGTCAGTTTTTACACCTCGACAAACATTAACTTTTACAAGTATATTTAGCATGTATTCAATATTCAATGTTTCATCATAATTATTTATTCCAACCTGTGATAACTTAATTTGTTTCTCATTAATGTAAAATGTTGGCTCAGAATCTATAAATATATTTTTATGGTAAAGTTAAGTTAGTATTCGAAGTACACATATTTTTTTTTTAACTGATAAATTATTATCCACGATACTAGTCATTATGACAAACATTTAGATGTAGATGTAACTATTGTTTACTTATTTTAATACCTTTTAATATAACTAATCGTTTTTCCACAACTCTTTTATTGTATATTTGAAATGGACTGAGAATAAAATAAGTTTTTGCTATAACAGATCCATTATTAGTAGTAACATCACAAAACCAATTCATGGGTAGTGAAATTGAACTTTCATCATTTATCAATATATTATCTTGAATTACTACCTCAGATATTGATTCAATTACACTGTCAGATAACTGGGCATTTAAAATAAATTTATTTTTAATTTACTTTTGTCAATGTTATTAAAATTATAATTTATTCAAACCTCAATACATGCTCGTTTGGCAAGTGGTGGTTCAAACTCATCATTTAGATTAACTTTAGAATAATTATGTTCGTTAAGCATTGTCATTGTTTCATTCACCTAATAATATTTTTAAATTAGTAAAAATAAAATATTTGAACTATTAATATATTTATATATCTATACTATTTCCTAAACTAACCTGGTTTATGTCATTTACTTCATCACTTAAATTATTAATTGGTATAACTCCAGATTTTAACCGTGGCTTTCTTAAACAAATCTAAAAAAATTTACCTATTATCTATTCATTTTTACTTATATGTATAATGTATATATTTCAATAGAACATACCGAGATTTGGCTACTACCATTACCAGACTCCCATGTTGATGTAATATCACTAGGTTTAAAATGGTTTGCACAAACTCTTGAATTCCTGTTTAAAGGACACCCAATAATATTTTCCCAGACATTCATCATATTTTTAGGAACACCAAATTTAGATGCAGCACTTTTACTACACCCAGGAACACAACACTTGTTGGAAACCATATTGGAATAAAGGAAAATATAGTACAAAATAAACTACTAAAAAGGCAAAAAGTAAAACGATGAAAAATGGAAATTGGTGCAATATTACAAAAGAAAACTATTGAGGATTGTATTGTATTGTAATCTTTATTCCAAATCCCAAATATGACATATAATATATATAATATGTCATGCCAAATATCCATCAATAAAAATTCGCGGGTAAATGTTTAAAGATAACATTGATAATAAATAAAATTGTTTTTGGCCGCAAGAACGCTAGCTACTATTCTCACACAAACCATCAGCTGTTTATATTCGAGAATCTTTGAGCATCATTTCTGTTGTATAGTTTTAATAGGTGGTTTCGTAACCTGTTTATCTTAAGCCATGGTAAAGTACTAAAGTTTTGGACCATGATTAATTTGGTTAATTAACTAGTCATGTTTATTGTTTTGGACAATATTATGTAATAAGTAATAACTAATGAAGTATTGAACCATCCACAATCAAAAATTTCAATTTTTAGTATTTGAGCAATTTATATTTTCTTCGTATTAACTCATAGGAGTTGGGAAACAGGACTTTGAACTTGGAAGTCTTTACTTCTGTAGTATTAGGACGTGTTAGTGTATGGCTGTCAATTGTATCTGTAAGATCGTGATGCAAGATAATCTGGTAAGTTACATCTGATTACTCATTGCTTTAGGATTTTGGAAAATCAACGTACATAAAATATAGGTTACTGATTATACAATGACATCCATGTATTAGAATAAATTCATGTAGGCAATACTAGATATTATGAATTTAAAGTTTAAACATGTGTTTTCACTTATGTATGGACTATGGTCAATAAGATGATCCAATGGTTCAATATTCCTTACATTATTATGAATTGATTACAAAATTTAAGTATATTTTTATTTTGTTATTTTATATGTTGGCGTTTTGAGAAAAACAACTGTATATTTTACACATAATGTTGATTGTACTTAGTAAATGGGTACTTACTACATAGGTACTACAAAAAATATAATTCAAATTTCTATTACATTGTTTTATTTCAAAAACATACTATTTTACTTAAGATTTTTTTACTTACTTAAGCAGCCCACATTTCTGGAGAAAAAATTGTAGCAAAATAGAATTTTTTCTGGGTAATAATCACCATGCATTTCATTATACTATACATAAATGATTTCAATTTTTAACTTCTGTTTTAATAAATTAAAAACCATTTATCTCATTTTTATCCCATAAATATATTTTAGTTTTACTAATATTGTCATTACTTACATTTATAACAAAATCTTTATCTTTGATTTCCTTAAAAATTAAATAAAATCTATAAAATATACTATATACTATATACTCTATTAAAAAAAATGTTGTGGGCTTAAATATAAAGATACATCTAAACTAATAAATTAAAGTTAAAGTTTTGTTTGAACTTAAAAAAAAAAAAAAATACAATTTATTCTACTTGTAATAGGTACTATATTATATACATTTTTATGCTACCATCTACAGTGTCATTGCATATCTCACACATGGCTGGTAATGGCAAGATGCAATCAGAACAAAACCATCCGTGCCCACAGTAAATATAGATGTAACGTGCCCTATTTGGTACATCCCGCATTTGTCTCATGCATCCCAAGCATTGACTTCCAGTCGGATCAGCCAAGTTATTATTTTGTAACCAGGTTCCTAGAAAATAAGAAATTACTTGCCAAAATATAAAAAAAAGTAATTAATTAAAGTATTTACTCTGTGTTCCATAGTTAATATGCATAATCTGGATTCTTTGCATCCGCGGAAATTGGTCTGTACATATTGGACAGTTGTTGAGCCTTAATCCACATGAATCGCAACACCATCCATGCCCACATGGGATAAGAATGTTTGCACTACCAACATCTGCATAATCATTCAGACAGATAAAACACCTGTCCAATAGATGATCATCTGTATGCAAATTATGTGGTATTTAAAATATTTGTTTATCACTAATTTATTTATAAACTATAGCTTACCATTGACAAGTGGTATATCTTGTGGAGGCCTCGCTTGCTCTGCCATAATCATGTCAGGTACCACAATTTGTACTAACAAAATTATATTTAATTCTCAGTTAAGTGTCTCAAATTTGTAAATGTTTATTTAAATATTAATTAGTGTGTTATTAACATAACAAATACCTTCAATTTCAGGAGAATTTTGTTGTACAATTGGTTCAACTGGTTGATGAAACCCTTCTTCCAAAATAACATCTAAATGTAGAAATATTATACATTAATACCAGTTGTTAAAATTTGATTCAAAGTCAAATCAAAATGATTTGTGAATTTACCTTCAAAATTAGCTTCATCCGGTCTGACGACAATAACTTCATCTTCACCTATTGGTGGTTCAACAGGTACATCTGGAATAAGAAATTCAAACTTATATACGTAATTTCAAAAATTTAATAATATACCAACCTTCAAAATAAGGGGAGTCCGGTCTAACAACAACTATGTCTTCTTCCACTGCTGGTTCGACAAGTACATCTAGAATAAATAGTTAAAACGTATACAATTTTATAATCTAATATATCTTTAGGTTGTAAACTTGCCTATTAGTTGCCCACGACCTCTACCGGGTTGAACTTGACCACGAGGTCGTCCGCGGCGTCTTTGAATTTGAGGGTTAATGCGGTTACCTCGCCCCCCACGTCCTCTTCTTTGTGCTATTTGACGGCCATTATTTGCCGTAAGAGGAGGTGGTAACAGCGGTTCAAGTTGTACAGGTGGTAGCTGCTGAATTTCATCTTCCTGATGTACTATATCAAATGTGAGTAGCTTAATATTATAATGTTATAAATATATAATTTATACGGAGACATATTTATTAGAAGACTAAAACTTAATATTTACCATTAGGTAATGGACCGATTTCATTGTCCAAGTATCCTCTCGCCACATGTGCGACTCTTCTAAGGAAGGATGAGGTGTTATATCGACCATTCCTTACTAGTCGAAGAGCATTTTGTAAGACCTCATTATTTCTATCCCGACTTGTGATAATTGATCTACGAACCTGAAAATAAAAAAACCATTAAGCAACAAGAAATATTAAATTATAAATAAATTTAACCTGATGTCCATTTATTATTTGTCTGGTTTCTCGTCTAACTCGAGATTCTACTGAACGAAGTCTGTCTGTATTCAAAAATATTCATATTATTTTTTAATATTTTAGTTGTATAATATAATAACTCAACTAAATATTTCACTGAACTTACCATAGAATGTCCAAACTGGAGGGTGTTGACCAATGGTGGTTTTCAGCATACTATGGAAACTCTCCACATAGTTATTTGTCCGAATATTTAATCCATACACTGAAAATCCAACTGGACCTACAGTATCGATCCAGTAATGTTGAATGTAATTAAACATATCGTCAAAATATTGCATTATGTCCATATGCCTCGCCAATTGTTGGATCACAAAAAACCCTCCAGTGATATGGAAGTCAATTGGCAATTGAGGCTCCCTTTCCGGAGGTAAATGTGGCAGTGCAGTGATCTTAAATAAAACAATAAATAAATATTAGAAAGTTTTATAGAATATCTAACTATATGGTGTTATAAGCCTACCATTCGGATAATGGTGGCTACATTATAGTTGTTGCGAACAATTTCATTCATGCCATGTGTGCGAATATATCTTACAATGCTCTGTTACCAAAAATATTTTATTAAATTTTATACTATTAGTATACACTATATACACAAATTTAAATGATAAAATATGTAATTTTTGTGGTGCAAATTTTATATGAAAATGTGTTAACCTGATTGAAATGGAACCAGCATCCAACTAATCGACAGTCCGGTATTACTCTTCGAATGGCATTTCGTTGAGCCATTTCAAAGTCTGCAATAATTTGCATTCTATTCCATTCAAAAAGTTCAAAAGGCAGATCTGTTGTTAAAAACTGCCACAATCTTATGTATACCGACTCTGTTCTTTGATTTGTAAGTGCATAAACAAGAGGAATGGACTGCGAGATAGATAAAAAAAACAAATGATGATGACTGATTAGAGTGTAAGTAATAACTAATGATATTTTATACTATACTTTTGCATTTATAATAATACTATAATTTTGATCAACAGCAGTCAATCAGGAATTATTTTAAAAATATAGTAAATTCTATTTTGTCAAATCTTACAATGTTATCCAGGACTGCATGTATGGTCACTAATTGATCAATATCTCCTGGAAAATGTGGTACTACCCCAAAAGTACCATCTACGGCTAAAACTTGAGCTCTTTGGAGGAATGGTACGTGTTGCCGTATAAAATCAATGTTTGCAAATAGTAAACCTCCAAATACTGAGTGTCCGTCTTGAATAAATTCAAGGAAACCTTGGTAGAAGGATACATTGTTGATGTCGTCTACCACAAATGACAGACGACGTTGCCACCTAACAGAGGCTATTGTCTCTCCCATTGACCTCAAATCGGCTGGTATTGGTGGTGAAACAGTTCTTCGAGCCTGCCGTACAACTCTTAGAGCTTGTTCAACATTTACTTCCATCGCCGCATTTGGATATCTACGAATGTTGTTATAGTAAAAAATGTATTCGGAATATCACTAGCATAATGTATTATTATTTGATTGCATTTAATAAATTTGTATCATTTATTTCACAGGTAAAAAAAATCAGGAATTCTTACCTTCTAGCTGATTCCTCATAAATTGCTCTCGCAGACACACCTTCCACTACAGCTCGATCTCGTAAATTCTGTAAAAACTGACCTAACTCAATATCGTGACCCGGTCTGTGGTTGTGTAATTGGTACAATACAATATGTGCATTTTCAGGTACTAGCGCCATTGAACCTGTTGCTCTACAACCTTGTTCATATCGCGAACATCGCAATTGTCTAGTGATAAAATAATTTTACCAATTAATATAAATAAATAATTTTTAATTAATCAAGTTATTCAAAATTATAATTATTGTACTATATTATTTTACAGCTGACCTTCGGTTTGTAGACACTCGATTTTGAACATAAGTATATCCATCGGGGTCTGCAAAAATTGTTCGACCTCTAACGCCAAGTACTCTTCTTGACGGTTCTCCATCTTCTAAAAATTCCCCAATGACATCAATACCACCACGAGGCAAAAGTGGTGATCTAGAACGTGATCTTTCACGAAATTCTTGAACACAATTGAAATTATAAAATTTAGTTTTGCAAAATATATATAGTTCAAAATAATAATTATAGAATGAATAGTTTATTATAGATAAATAAAGCAAAAAAAAATTTTGAAATTATTCAAATGTCTTAATGCTGGTACATTGTGTGATCTCCCCTCTCCAGTCAACAAATAGGGAAAATAGTACCACTTTAAGATTGGGGGGGGAACAATCTGTCAGCCTATGTTTTTATTACCAAGTATATTTTATTATTTATTTATATTGCTATTTTAGTAATTTATTTCATAATATTAATATTGGTATAAACTAATAAGCAAGTATAGCTTAAAATTAATCTAAGTATTTTGAAAGTGTCATTGTGTATACGAGATACGAGATACTTAATGAAATGTACCTAATCACGTAATATAATGAATTAATCATATTAATTACCTACTAGATCAATTAAAAATTTCAAATTACATCAAAATGTCTAAATATCTAAATTCAACAAAATTTGAACTTCAAATGTCTTTTTTTTAATTGGCGTTTATTGAAAATTTCAATCTGTACATCATATACAATCAGTAAATATGATATGGTTTCATAACATAATATAAAAATGACTTGAACTTCAAATGTCTACAAAAAAAAGTTGTGACTATATCTTTTTAATATTTTTCAGCTTCTACTGTAATAATGTACCTATTAGAAGCATCATATTAAATTTTCAAGATTTTTTACCAAACAAAAAAAATTTTAATGATATTTAAAGAAAAAAAAAACAAAAAATTGGAAACTGGAAATGTCCATAAACAGTTCAAAAAAAATTTTATCGTGTATAGAAATATTATGTTCAGCTTAAATTATGCGTGAATTTAAAATTCATAATAATTTTCAAAATGTCGTGATTTTATCAAAATTCTAACTTCAAACGCTCGTAAAAAACTTTTGTGGATTTACGTTCTACTTTTTTTTTAATTTCCACTAACAACTACCTACTTACGAGGGACGTTGTATTAAATTTTCAAGATTATTGACAGAGTGTACATTTTTTATCGACATTAATTAAAAAGAAACTTTAGCTAAACATAAATCAAAATATTTTGAAAAGTGTGTGGAGTGTAGAAGTTACTAATATACCTAAACAATCAGTCAAAATGTCATATACCTTCGGTCATTTGTACGATTAATTGTCTGCAAATATGCCCGTTTACGAAAATTTTTTCATCTCTATATAGTTAATACTAATTGCTAATATGCTAATATGGAAATTTGGTGAAAACTCGCGGACTTTTATTCATAAATTAAAATAATTCATATTATACTATTAAAAGGATTTAACTTTGTAATTTCGACATTATAAATAGAGATTCTTAACGTATAAACAATACGATAATTTAATGTTAAATTGTATTATAAAATAGGTAGGTACTGAATTCACAAAATTATTTTTAAAAAAATTTTTATTTTATAAACTGATTTTAAACTTAAAATATTCACTATTAATAATAAATATAGTCAAAATAGGTATATTTAAAACACTTTTAAGTTTAAATAAATAAAAAAAAAAACATTTTTTTTACTGCGTTTACTGCGTGTTTTTTACTACTTACATAAATCTTAATTTATCTGAGTTTATCTACTTATTTTGGTTTTATTTAAAATAATAAAATATTCATTAAAAAAAATTGATATAATATATCCATTAATATAATTAAATAAAAATTGCTAGAACTTACCATCCATCGCAGCAAATTAAAACTAGGCACAAATGTTTTAATACTACTTTAGAATTTAGAATTCAAATAAGCACCGCTCAAATTTCGGAGGAAGCAAGGTTTGATCTCATACCACCGACAGTTAGAGAATAAATAAAGAGAT